ATTCCTGTCACGTTAACATCACACCTCTGACGACAAAATTAACTTATCGACTCTCTTCAATAGAGCGATAGGTCCACAAATTCCTGTCAAGTTAACATCACACCTCTTCGCAACACATTCCTGTCACGTTAACATCACACCTCTGACGACCAAATCAACTTATCGACTCTCTTCAATAGAGCGATAGGTCCATAAAAATACTGTTAGGTTAACATCACACCTCTAACAGTCAAACCCCCTAATGAACTTGTTAATCCTTTTTCAACAAGAATAGCAAGTTTTCATTATAGAATCCCAAGTGGATTAAAGATTTTCTGAAATTATCTCAGTGATAATAAAGAAAATTTCTGAATTTCACTCTAAGTGAAAATTCATGCCAAGTTAATATTACACCTCTGGCGCTTCCAACTTTCTTTCAGTGTTTCAAGTAACACAGGAAGAAATAACGACAAAGTCTACGTATTCAACATCGTAGCACCAAAATCCATGCCTTTTACGCATGGGGGACTTTATCTCGATCCCTAATTAGAGATAAGCCTACGCCTGACACGCGTTGCCGGTTAGTCATTTCCCGTGAAAATGACAAAGTCTATGTATTCAATATCATAGCATCAAGTCTAAGAGGGTTCATTCTCTTAGCACAACGGTACATGTGGAACGGACTTAGACAATCCACATGCTAGCCCGACTCAAATGGTAGTCGGTAAAGGCTTATCAAATCCGTTGATGGCTGAGGGTTTGCCAAAAATCCTATGCACGTTTACAGGTCCATCAGCTTAATGGATGTGAGCCGAAACTTAAAACAGATGAGCCAAAGACAAGTCTCACAGGCTTAGTCAAAAATGCAAGGAAGCCACTTCCATGTCTTAAGTCAAAATGTTGAGGTCAGACTCGCGATGCAAAAACCGAACGCCGAGGTCACACCCGTGTTCCAAATTCAACATGCAATAGTGAGACCCGCATCTCAAGTTCAAAATGCAGGGTCCACCCCCACATTCCAGAAGCAGGATTATGACGCATACCTTCACACAGGTCCTACGTGGCAAATCCCTTCAACCAAGATGCCTTCGAAGCAAGTGCAGAGAACAAATCCTTTACCACAAGGAATCAATAGCTCCAAGATCAGAGTTGAGATCCAAAGTATTCCGAAAATTCATCCCAGTCAACCGCAAACTTTCGAAAACTTTGGAGAGGGTTCTGTAGGCTGTCTAAAAATCACAATAGATAGCTGATCCCCATCAAACACCGATGATGGAAGTTAACAATCTGACGACTTCCAGAAGGCTACAATTTGAAGACTTTCACGTAGATCGCTAAAGGTTACAATCTGACGACCTTCACGACAACCGATGAGAGCTCTAGTTCAACAGCCTTCACAATCAACAAGTTACAATCTGACGACTCTTGCATATCAAAGAGCTAAAGTAAAGATTACAAAATGACGATCTTTGCAACGCTTCGACAGAAAGAGACTACAAATCGACGGTCTCTTCAAATCAAGCTGCGGAAGTCCTCCCCGAACACCAGTATCAAGACGCATCGCGTTCATAGCCACGAACGCAGCTCAACGCATCTCTATACCACTGCCAGACGCAGCTCCAATCGCTGCCCAACGCAGCTCCAATCCGCTGCCAGACGCAACTCCAATCCGCTGCCAGACGCAACTCCAATCGTTGTCAGACGCAGTTCAAACAGTTGCTCAAACGCAGCTCCAAGCGCAGCTCAAACGCAACTCTAAAAGCTGCAAACGCAGCTCCAAAGGTTGCAAACGCAGCTCAGATTCGGCCGCAAACGCAGCTCCAAAAGCTGCAAACGCAGTTCATGTTCGGCCGCAAACGCAGCTCCAAAAACTACAAACGCAGTTCATGTTCGGCCACAAACGCAGTCTCCGAAAGCTATCAACGCAGCTTTCACCTACCGCCAAATGCAGCTCCCAAGCTGTCAAACGCAGCTTTCAACAAGATGCCAACGCAGCTTCCAAATTGCTGCGTCTGAGCTTCCAAACACTGCGTTTGAACGCAGAATTCGCATCAGAACATGGATTTTACGTTTGACTCGTTCAAACACGAGCTGAACGGTTTCAAAACCGTTTCCCACGATCTGAGGGGATCACAACTCCACTCAGGAGTGATTTAAGGGGCGGTTACATCCCATTAGCCCCACTTAGGAGCGAATTAAGGAGGTGGTTACACCTCTTAATCCCCTATAAATAACTGAAAGTCAATTCAGTTCAGGGGGGTTCGTGCGGTCTGTTGGAACTTCTTGGCTCGTCAACAGGATCCTTAGAGCATTTCTGGAGCTTGGGAGATCTGCAACAAGAGCTTCTTCATCCTTGGCTTGAGAATCGATTCTCGGTTCAAACCAACTCTTTTTCAAGAGTTTCCAACTCATTCAGAGTTATCAACTCGTCCAGAGTTTCAAACTTGCCACGCAAGTTCTCCACAACGTCAAATCGTGAGGAGAAGACCACGTTCCAGTGAAACAAGACATTTGATCGTCAACGAGAAGCAAACTCGACGCGAGCATTCGAGGGAGGCATCTCATCGCCACCGTGAAGAACCCAGAATTAAACAAAGGGGAGAATCCATATCATTCTCTTCTCTTTTGTAATCAGGAAATCCAATTGTAATTAAGATTAAAGGAATACAAATCAATTTTCCTTTATTTCTTTTTACTACAAATTTTCCCACAAACAGGGATCCCCTCTCCCCTTACCTATTTGTCATTGGTATGGAGTATTTGTCAAGGAGACTAATTGCTTTGAAGGATGATAGGCTGTTTAAATTTCATCCGAAATGTTCTAAACTAAAAATTACGCATCTGATGTTTGCGGATGATTTGCTTTTATTTAGCAAAGCTGATTTATGCTCAGTTACCAAAATCTATCAATGCTTTCAAGATTTTAGTCTGGTTTCTGGACTGTATGCAAACTTTAGTAAGTGCTCTGTTTATCTAACTGGGATTGAGGAGGGCATTAAGTCTCAGATTTGCAATTACCTGAATTTTTCAGAGGGTGTCCTGCCTATGAAGTATCTTGGTTTACCTCTGAATACAAAGAGACTATCCTATGTTGATTGTTCTTCATTGATTGGGAAAATCCAAGACAAGTTTCAGTTTTGGCAGCAGAAAAGAAAACTGTCATACACAGGTAGACTTCAACTTGTCAAATCAGTCATTCTTGGCATCCAAACTTTTTGGATTAGCAACTATATCTTGCCAATCAAAGTGTTAGAGAGGATTGATAAGCTATGCTCTGACTTTCTATGGGGGAAAAAGATTCATTTAGTTGCATGGAATTCAATCTGTCAGGAGAAGGAGCAGGGTGGTTTGGGTCTATTCTCTGCAAAACTTTGGAATTATGTTGCTGCTGCAAAATTATTATGAATGATCCATCTTAAAAAAGATATTTTGTGGGTTAAGTGGATTCATGAGAACTATTTACAAATCTGTAATCTTTGGGAGGCTCAAAGTAGAGTAAATGACTCTTGGATGTGGAAGCAACTCCTCAGGGTAAGAGACATGCTGTTGAATAAGTTTGGAAGCTTTGAATCTCTGAAGAATGCAATTGATGACTGCTGTTATAATGGTAAAATCCAGCACTCTGCAGTATATAACAAACTGGCTCATTCAACTCCAGCTTCAGTGAGTTGGTATGAGACAGTTTGGATAATTTTAACTATCCTAAACACTCCTTTACTGTCTGGTTAGCTTGCCTTTCAAGACTTCTTACCATGGATAGGCTGTGCAGACTGGGGATCTTAAATCCTAATCAAAACTGCTGTGTTCTGGTCATCAACTGGAAACAAATAGCCATCTGTTTTTTGATTGCCAGTTTTCTGCGGAAATCTAGAATGTAGTTATGGATTGGTTGGATTATAAATGGAGGTCTTGTGATTGGAACATGATCATTGATTGGTACTCTAATAGCTTGAAAGGAAAGGGTTCCAAGAAGAAGATAAAGAGGCTTGCACTTGCTGATACAATTTATATGATTAGCTTGAAAGGAAAGGGTTCCAAGAAGAAGATAAAGAGGCTTGCACTTGCTGATACAATTTATATGATATGGCAGGAACGCAACTTGAGAATTTTCCAGAGCAAAATGAGGAGCTCTCAACAGGTTCTTCATAATATCAAATTGTCTGTTTATACAAAAGTGTTACACGAAAGTACAAATGTTCATATGAGAAATCTCATTTTGTAGTTTTTTCTTTTTGATCACCAGAGAATGTCTGGTTTTTGATATGTTACACAATGTCCATATTGGAAATGAATAAATTCAGTTCATTTACCAAAAAAAAAAAATTCTAATATTACTAGGTGTCTTGTTTGTTTTTCTATTTAAGAAGAGTCATGTAACCCAAAGGAGAATATCTTGGAATTAAATAAACTTCTCTTGAAGAAAGTTTTGGTGTGCTTTCTTGAGTTTGTGGAAGAAGTCCTCGTGGTAAGGCTTCTTTGTTTTCGCTGTTGCGTCATTAGAGCAACAATAATACACGTTAAGAACGAAGTATGTAGAAACAAAATTTAAATTTCAAAAACAGAAACGTACATAAAAGTAACATCAGTACACGTTACGGACAAAGTATGTAGGAGAAACAAAGATAAATTTGAGGAGGAGGGGATAACGATGGCTGAGAAATCGAAGACCGATATTAATTAATTGTGGCATTCAAGTGACCGATATTAACTCTCATAATTATACTTCTTCCGTTGCCCAAATCCATATACTGTACGTTCTGTATTTGATGTACGGCATAGTCGTACTGTTTATCATACGGACAAAGTCTTTTGCAAGATCATCTCAATGAGGAGGTCAGATATCACTTGGAGAAGAATCGGATACAGCAACCTCATCGTTATATTAAATGTGGATTATAATACTAAGAATTAAGTACCCACATATTTCTCATACCCAAAACAGATGTAAAATGAGCAATATTAGTGACTTTATCATATCAACTGGGTTGTAACAGTTTAATCTCAGATGAAAATATTTAAAATCAATTCTTCAGCTGCAGTTTGATGGGCAATCCCTCACGAGGTGATGGCATAGGATCTCTCCGAAAAGTATTGTCTTTGCAGCACAATTTCCATTCAAACCGAGTCACGACATAATGTATCATAACGAGAGTCTCAATCCTGGCAAACTCGTTGCCTGGACAAACTCTGGGTCCTCCTGCAAATGGCACGAAACAGTAAGGTGGTACTGATGCAATGTTCTTGAATCGACTAGGATCAAACTTCTCTGGCTCCGGGAAAAACTTTGGATCCATTTGTGTGGTGGGCAATGCCCAAAACACCTGAAAATGTTTCAGAATACAGGATTAAACCAAGCAATTCCAAATATATTCAGTTTACTGATAACTTACTTGCCACCCTTTTGGTATGATATATCCATTGAACTCGATATCTTTGAGTGTTTTTCTGAAACTACCAAAAAGAGGAGGAACCATTCTTAGTATCTCCATAGCGACATGCCACGTATATTTCATTTTTGATAGATCTTCCCATGATAAAGGTTCTTCTTTGGCCTTGCTCTTGACAATCTCTTCTTGTTCTGCCAAATCAAAAAGATTTTTATGCATTTGTTACATGTACTACCAACATCCTGATTAGATTTATTGTTACCTTGAACGACTCGAGCATGAGTTTCGGGGTCATTTGCAAGATGGCGAATAATGAATGTGATGAGTATGGAGGATGTATCATATCCTGCGATCATGACAAGTACTGTGTTGTCTACAATCTCATCATCGGTTAATTCCATACCGATCAAATAGGTGATAAGGTCTTTATTAGATGTGCATTTCTCTTGTTTTTGCGCAGACTTTCTTTCTTGTACAATTCTAGCAAGGGTCTTTCTAGCTCTATTGCTTGCCTTTAGGCTCCTATTGAAATTTGTAAAAGGCAGGTTAATTGGAACTGCCCACATACCGTCTATCATACGGACAAAGTCTTTTGCTAGATCATCTCGAAGAGGACCACGTTGAATACCAAAGAAGAGAGAGCAAATGATGTCGAAAGTGAGACTCTTGATCAAAGGCAATACCTGAAGAGATTCTGTGTTAACATCCAGAAACGTCAAGAAATGCTCAAAGTCCTTGCGTCGTGCATTCACAGCTCAATTTCATATCTCTATTCCCTAGTTGTTTCTAGATCTTGCTATTTACGGGATTAGTATAGAGAATTCAAGAATAAATTACTTCTTAACGGTCTGCAACTGCTTGTACAAAATGAGATTTAAGATGTGTATAAAAAAGAACATGTGCATGATTTGAAACTATATGCATATACCTCAAGTACTAATAACTTTCTGTCAGCAAGGAGTAAGTAAGCATTGTATATCAAAGAATAATAAAAACAGAATTACTTACAGGTAGATTGACAAGAGATTACAGATTTGTTGTCTTTCTTTTAAAACAAGTATACCTGAATGCACCATATTTGAGAACCATATCCATTGCTTGTTCAATTATACACAAGGGGTTATCCAAAATCAAATTTTGAATCAATCTCTCGATTATTTTAACCAGGAAGTCTCAATGATTTTCCAATGCAACAATCAATAAGGAGTGTGCTTCGTTTAAATAACCTGCACAAGCTTTGGATTTCTTAAATAATTTGTTGTCAGTGATAAAGTCCACGCCTGAAAACTATGTCTACCTCCTCCCCACC